TATACATGATAAAAAACGAAATAAATTGACAAATGATCGTGTTTTTAAATTAGTTTATATATATTTTAATAATAAATGGAAAACCCCAAAGATAAGTAAAGTTACAAATGTAGGTGAAGATATTGATGATAGTGATGATGACAATAATGATGGTAGTGATGATACTGTTGATGATAGTGATGACAATGTTGATAATGTTGATAATAGTAATATTGACAGTGATGATGAAAAAATGTTAAAAGTAGTATAATTTTTCTTTATTAAAAAAAAAAATGCACTGGCACGATGCACATGGAATTTTGAAATTTCATGCAATTTCCCATCCCTATGTGTATATATAAATGATTAAGTTGTGGTTTTATTTATGAATTAACTATTTTGTATAACGATAAATGATTTCATGGTTTGAATGTACTCACATAGCGACACATTCGTAAACTTGAATTTTTTCTTGATTGCTTGTGGACAGGAACGTCGTGGCTGAATGTAGAAGGTTGAATTCCGTGCGCTAAATGGCCCGAGAGAAATTTCTTTATATTAGTTACGAAAAAAAAGTGGAAACGAATAGACTATTGTTTGTCATTTTTTGCTCTTTGCGACGAAGAAGACGTAGTCCAAACCCAACCTAACTTTAATGTCGACGTGTGTTAAAATAAGTAAATTTTTGTTCGATTGTTCGATTGTGTGATTGTGTGATTGTGCGATTGTGTGATTGTGCGATTGTGCGATTGTGTGATTGTGATTGTGTGTAAAAGCAAAAGTTCACATTGTGTTCTCGTTTGTATACTTGTTCTTTTCTTACGCTAAAAATAAAATTTTTATTTATAAAAATTAATTTAATTAAAGTAAGTATGAGTTATCCACAACATTCAGTTATTAATAATAACGATGATGATGACTATAATACTACTATTAATGACAAGGAATATCAAATAATCAGGTTGGCTGTTGATTATTTATTATTGTTGCAAGAATTTTGTTTTTTGTTTCTAATTAAATATATGTGTGCGCATACATAAAATGCAGAAAATTTAATTATGGAAGAAACCTTAATGTGTTTAGAGTGTATAAGAAACCTATTGAAACAGAATATTATATTATAAAAAGATATGACAATATTGTTTCATATAAAAGAGAAGTAGATGCATTAGTTTTATTGAGTGAGGCAAAGGTAATTCTTGGGTACATTGCTATGAACAAGACAAATATATGTTGTATTTAGATTTTCTTTTTTGTTAGAATATTATGCAAATTGTAGATCGTGATCCATCTAGAATGGTAGTTGTTAGTGAATGTGCACTATATGATTTAGAAACTTTTTTCAAACACCAGACATGGACCCAAAGACAAGCAGAAAAGGTGCCAATAATAAAAGTAAGTTGCTCATAAAAATCTAAAATCTAAAATCTAAAATCTAAAACTTAAAATTTATATTACATGTATCTTAAAAACATTTCGTAGGACATTGTGGCAGCATTATCTGAATGTCAAAATCAAAATATAGGTAATTATTTATATATTAATATGCATATTTAATTATTCATTTATTTATGTTGATGAAGCAGGACCCCGCAAATTTCATAGATAGGTTACTGCCGCAGCTGGTCAAGTTCATATTATAAATTAAAATTTTTTGTCAGTGATTATAATAGGGTCAAATTATAAAATTTACGAATGTAATAATAACAGGTCAATTAATTTATTATTATCCATCAAAAAGGTTGGTTAGGTTTAATAGGGAACCAAAAATTTCGTGTAACAAAATTTTTTCTTTATGTGCTCATTCAAAAAACACATCAAATCTTTTATATTAAAAAAAAAATTATAAATTATAAAAATTAGTGATTAACATCAGTTAAATCAATCAATTGGTAAAATTTATTTTTGTTACAACAGACAGTTTCAAAATTTTTAATGTTGGTGTATATTATGGGTCAAATTATGTTCTTTTTTCTAATGTTAATCCAAGCCTTAAGGGTCAAAACATATAACAAACAGGAATTTTTGTTGCCGACTTATCTATGAAGTTCGTGGGGTTCTGATGAAGCTAATTCTCATTTCTCATAAATAAATTAGTTCACTTGGATTTATCACCAAAAAATATAATGTATTTTTATGATGAAAACTGGAAATTGATAGGTTTTGATTCTGTATGTACAGCAGATAAAACCCAGGTGTCTAAAACCACAACAATAAAATATCACAGTCCTGAATTAATACAAGCTGAAAAGGATGGAGGACATAAAAAAGCACAATTTTCCATGGATATGTTCTCATTTGGATTAATTTTATATTACATTGAAAATGGTTATTGGAATATTACTGATCAAAAATGGCCTGATAAAAAATTATTAATAAATACTACTGAGGATCCTCACACTGTTTATGTTATTGAGAATTTGTTGGAAAAAAATGTTAATAACAGGTATAAATCCATTTTAATGTTTTATAGCTTTTATATTATTATTTACATACACACAGTTAGTTAATCATTTTCTTTTTCTATAAAATCATTTTAGAATGACTTTAGTTCAATTTAAGGTAAGAACAAAATTTTATTAGAAAAGCAATTACTTTTTTAAAGTTTATTAATGTTGTAATTTTTTATAAAGGAATCAATATATTATGAGAAACTATCAAAAGTCAATGTTCAAGGTGATTTTAACCATGCCCAAAATAAAAACCATTGTAGAAAGCAACTATTCTTTTCTTAGTATGAGTAGGTGTGATAAATAATAATAATCTTTTTCTATTCTTTGTTTCTTTAGAACAGACTTATCATGAAAAATGTAAAGTGCAAATTGAAAAAGAGGCCAAAAAACTTAATCCAGATATAAAAGATGATGAACTAAAACAAATGAATTTTGATTTACAACAGGTGGAGTTTCAAATTATAATTATTATAAATATAAAATTTGCATATGAATAATTATTATGCTGTTGTATGTATATAGGAACAATTCTTAGAAAGATATCATCAAGAAATGAAAATAAGTTTGAAAGATATGAATAAGAAATTAGATGAGGTTAAGACCTCTGTGTTAAACCTCACTGAAACAATTCTGCGAATGGTATTTATTATTTGTAATTTGTTTGTTTGTTTGTTTATGGTCAATCATGTGATTAACACATGAATTTTAGTTAATGAAAACACAGAATGAGAAAACACCTCGAGTTTTTATAATAGTGCCTGAACATCATGAGTTTAAAAATCCAATGTAAGTAAAATTTACTAGATTTATCATTTGATCATAAAAGAACATTTTTCAAATAATTATTTTGTAATTATTTTTTGCAGGTCCTGGTACACAAATCCATTCAGAATGTATTTTGTATGTGAACACAATGATCATTGGCATGTACCAAAACAAGAGGGCTATATAATCGGAAAAGTTCCTGAATTCATTAAAAAATATGGACCTTGGATACAATTGTGGTAAAAATTTTTAATTAAATTAACTGGTACAAATTACAAAAAATGAGTTTCTTTAAAATTGAGTAATAAATAAATTATCATTATTAGCATTAAAGCCTTAGTATTTGGATCATGCATTGAGACTAGCAATTTATTTCCACAAGAAATAAACAATGTTCTTTTAGGAACATTTAATATAAAAATTGGCAACAGAAATGAAGTTGTACAATATTTTCAAGAAATAATTGATACAATTGGTGTTGGAGTAAAAGAAATCAATGATACTAATCCTGATTTAGTTCCATTGGAACATGATAAAGAAAGTAATTGTCAAATTTTAAATGCTTCTGGAATACATGCTTTAGCAAGTAAGTAGATTCATGAAATTGTCTCCCTAAAAACACTATGATTTTTATCATAACTAATTACAATTATAATTATTCTTTGCTTTGCATAGGTTTTGTTAAAAGCAAACAAAAATCTGGAAATTTTGGAGGCTTAGTCCAATGCATAAATAAAAAAAACCAGAATGTCATATGGTTATGTGATGAGCATCAAAATGATAACAGTTATATACACTTTCCAAATCGCCCAGCCAAGCCATTTTTTCCAAATTCATCTCTTCCAAACTCTCCAGCCCCTTCAGCCCCTCCAACCCCTACAAACTCTCAGATCCTTTCAGCCCCTTCAACCCCTCCAAACTCTCAGATCCTTTCAGCCTCTCAAACCCCTATTCAATCTCTTCGCCGTCCAACACTTCCATCTGACAAATATCAAGACAATTTTCATCAAGAAGTGCCATGTTCATCACTGCCTATTCCATTAGCTAGATCAAATTCCAAAGATTCGATTATTATTATGAATATTGATAGCCTGGTTCCATTGATGAAGTTGGTTAATGACATTCTTCTAGATGTTTTTAGTAATGCATCTGAATGCATTCATTTTGACACTGATGAAACTAAAAAAGTTACAAAAGTTACACAATATATGCATGAAAATTTGGAAAATCTTAAGGATCTTCATCAGAAATGGGATTCCAGTGATCAAAAAAAGCTCTTACAAACCATACTAGAAAGGTATATTATTGGTTATGTCTATTTTTTAACAGTGATTTATCGATATTGTTATGGTATGTAAAATTATTTTAATTAATTAATCATTTAACTTTCTGCTAAAAAAATTTTTTTTTTAATTATTTACATCTTCTCTTCTTAAAAAAAAATACATAAGTAAAAGCAACAAACAAACTCATGGGCCAAGTAATTAATTATTTCAATGATCCACCAGTTGTTAATAAGTATTTATATAATTGATTTATGTCAATTGAAATTTACTATTTTGATTTTAATTTTAATTATATCTGATATAAATATGTTGTTTTTGTTTTAGGATTTTTAGGATTATTAAAGAAACTAATGCATTAAATGAATTTTATGCTGGGTTAATAAAATGTTTGGAAAAGAATAATCAAAATGACATTGAACAAAATTTAAATAAACTTAATTCAAGTTCTAAGACTTTAAATAAAATTTCTCAATCTAATAAATTTATAAATCAAAATATTTTAAAAGAATGGTATATAACATCTACAATTTTTGTTGATGGCAGAGAAAACGAAAATGAATTGAATAACATCAGCAGTAACTTAGCCTATAATAATGACAACAAGTGTGAAGATAAAACACTCTTTAATGATATTTTAGTGATAAAAAATAGAAGGTTAAAAGAAAAAATTCTGGTTTTTGGAAAAGAGTTAGATTCCAGATGTTTCAATAATGAAGATAATATAGATTGCATAGAGAAAGAAATTTATATGTATAGTGAACAAAATTTGAATGGCTCAGATTATATTTTAAAATTTCTAGGGTTCACTGTAGACAAATTCAAACCAATACTTCATTATGAATATGCTAACTATGGAAATTTGTACAATTATTTAAAAAACAATGAAAATTTGCCTGAAAATGAAAAACTGACTTTGGATGCCAAACTAAGCTTGTCTTTAGATGTATGTTTTGGACTTGAATTTCTACATGAAGTAAGTTTATGAGTTATTTATAACTTTATTTTTTTGCACTTTCTTCTATATAAACATTCCTTTAATTCTCAACCTATTTCTTTTTTAAAAAATTTCATTAAAGAAACGCATTTTGCATTTGGACTTGAGGAGTAGCAATATATATCTGTTTAAAAGTGGATTCAGGGGTGAATTTCCAAAACCAAAAATTTCCAATTTTTTATACAGTGTATATATGTCAAATAAGCACACAATTGTTAAACCATGTTTACCAAACAGTATCAATAATCAAGTTAGGAAAAGATGGCATGAACCACAGCGTTTACACAATGAAAAGCATTGCTGCACAGTTGAATCAGATTATTATAGTTTGGGAATGTTGATTTGGGAAATATTTAATGCAACAGGTGCTTTGCCATATGAGGAAATAGAAATTGAGCATTTATATGAACATTTGAAATATAAAAATGCATGTGAAATTTTTCCAAAAAACTTACTACCACAATATTCATCTTTGATAACTAGAATAACTAAGTCATGGGAGTATGATATTAGTAAACAGACAACTTTAGCCACTATGATTTCAACATTAAGAGGTTTTCACAAGAAAAAAAGAAGAACCTCATCAACAAAATGCATATTTCGAACAGGTATATTATTATTCTTTCCATCAGAAATTTTTTATTTATATAAATAATATTCACAAAATTATGATATTAATGGTTTTTTTTAATAGTAATGAATCAACAATACTTGACAAAATCTGAAGAAGCAATTCAAAAATATAGTGAAATAGTTGAATCATATAATTGAATTATATATTTTTGCCTTTTTTTCAAAAACAAAAAAGATTATATATACAGTATATACTGTAATTATTTAAAGTCAATATAATAATATTGAAAGTTAAATTTATATAATAGGAGAGTGTGTTGTAATTAATAAACATTTAAAATCATTCATATTTTTTCTGATAATAATTTGGTTTTGTCTAAATGGTTCTTCTGGTATTGAGAAATGTGTTTGTAGTTTAATCTTTGGATATTTTTTGTTGTTTCTTTTTATTAGATCATATATTTTTAGAGTTTCTTGAGTATAGGGACATTCAGTATGGTATAACTCTTGCAAAAAGTATGGTATGGTATTGTATAAGTGTAATAAAATGGTTGTATACCAATGCTTAAATCTAACATACTTCCCTTCACACCACCAAAAAAGGATTTAGAATAAAATTTTGTGTGACTTGGTACGGAAAAATATGGGCTATACCATACCATACCATACGTTCTGCAAGAGTTATACCATACTGAATCTCTCCCTACTGGAGTTTCTTTTATTCCAAACTAAATTGGTCAATTAATTTAGAAATCATTAAATTTGATATTAAATATAATGATACTAATAATAATATACTTACTGCTAGTTTTATCATTAGTTATATTCTACTGATAGAATTGAATCCTGGACTGTCCTCTTTAATAGGTAATGATACTATTGTGAGCATGTAAAATACAGCTTGTGATATGTCCAATAAATATATAAAATAGAATATAAAAGTCCAATATATAAATCTCCCTGTATCCACACACAGCTCAGGGTTCTCAATACAGTCAACCCCCTAAATACCCCCATAAATGCACACCCTCTCTAAATACATGCTTTCACTCATTCCCAAGCTTGGGACTTAAGAGATAAATGCACCCCTCTATACCTGCACTGCACAGTCTTTTTTCATTCCCAACTATATATATAAAACCACCCTCCTTAAATGCACGCCCGTGACTTTCACGGGGTTTTATGCATTGTTAATTGTGTAACCTTAGAAAATTTTTACTTTGGCTTTGACTTAATTCCCAAAATCTCAATTTTTAATTGTATCTTGACTCAATTACTTATATGTTTTTCATATGACTCAATTAATTACATCAAAAAGTCACCCAATTGAGTCAAGTGTAAGCATGTTAGCTGAAGTTGGCTCTCCTAATAATGGTGAAATAGTTTTTCATAAATGCTGAAGTTAATTTTATTAGTTGCCAAAATTGTATCTGAAGTTATTTGGACTCTTTAATTAAATATTAAAAGGCTGGGTAGATTTTTTATGTCTATTGATACAAAGAATATTGTAAATCCAAAATTGCTTACTAAAATTGATTTTTTCAAAAATCATTTTAACTAACATTCTTATCAATCTATTTCTACCATAGTTAACAAGTTTGGAAATTGTCCATATAATGAACAAGCAAAATCAGTTAATTCTCTTTAAAAATATTAACTTAAAAAAAATAAATACAATGGAACAAATTACAATAGATAGATTCATGTCTTGAATTTTTTTTTGTAATTTAAAAATTTTAATTAGTGTCACATGAGTCACCAATATGTGCAGCCAATAAAATGCTTTAATTCCCTAAATGCACGCTCCCACTCATTCCCAAGGGAGTGCACTTAGGGGGGTTGACTGTACCCTGTACCAGGCCTCTGTATATTTACTTGACTGTTCACATTGTAACTAGAGTGATGGCGAGTGGCAATAACCACCATTCTTATGATAAATAAACACTTACTCATTTTGATTTTGATTTTTTTCCTTTATTCTTTTTTTAAAGGCCTTTGGTGGCATTGTTTTTTGTTTTTAAAAAAGAAACTACAGTCGGTGCTCGATATAGTGAAGTTTTGGCTAGTACAAATTTGAAAACTATCTTCAGAAAAATTGAATTTTATTGGATATTAATGCAGATAGTTTCCAAATTTGTACTAGCCAAAACTTCACTATATCGAGCGCCGACTGTAGAGTGACAACCATTCTTTTAATAAACACTTATCCAGCAATAGCATAGTGGAAATTTGAAATGTTACATTAATTTTTTATATTGTGCAACTTAACTTTACAATACACGGCAAACATTCTGCCAATAAAAAGTAAGTGATAAACTAGATTTGAATTGGATCTGAACTTGATCTCCAATTTAGAGAAGTAATAACTATATACTGGTGAAGTTTCAAGAGCAATGGGTTCTGTATAACATTTAGTAAGAAAAAACTTCCACTATGCTTCCAGCAATCTCTTTTTCATTATTTTCTCTTTTTCTATGTTTAATATATTTTTTGGCATTTTTGAAATTGTAAAAAAAGCATCACATTAAAAAAATAAACACGTAAACAAATATAGTTCTACTAGTATAAATAAATATATATTCGAAATTGTATTATTATATATTTTATAATGGCCCGAAATAGAGGTCTGCCTTTGACAATTGCGAATAATATTAATATGCCTAAAATCACTTATTATGTTTATTATAGAAAAGGGTCTGATGGCATACTATCCGGAGGCCCTATTTTATATGCAAGCTATCACTATACTAAATAAAATCCGGTTTGAATCCGGTGCTACAATTATAAACCGGAAAACCTAGTTCTTTAAAATAATGTTGGGGATAATTGTCCAAATTTAGAAATGTCTTTGTTCCAGTTTCCAGCCTCCCAGTCTTCCAGCGATCAACAAGATGAGTCATTTTTTTATCTATTTTTTTTTTCTTTGCGTTATTTTGATTTAAAACAGTTTTCTAACTTTCAATCCAAGAAGAAATCTCTCCGAAATAAGTAAAAAATAAAAATTGATATATTCGTGTTTTTACTCAAACATAATCATTTAATTAATTAAAGTTATTTATTTATTAATAACCAGAGATACCTTTTTGTGTTGATATATTGATAGTATTGGTAACATGTTATCTTTATTTCTTTGATAAAAAATAATATACATTATGGTAATTATGTTCGCCATAATAATAATCAATCTTGACCAATATTCGTAATTATATTATATATTAATATATTAAATTTAAGAAAAGTCAAAGGTAAAGGTAACAACCAAAGCCATTGAATACGTGAAAAACTGCACTTGGGCATCAAAAAAAAAAACGATTCTTTGGAAATTACTTTGGGCCCAAATATTTAAAAAATTCTGATATCCCTTAAATACAAAGACTAGCATAACCTCACGATCTAAGTGTATGATGGTACAATCAAATTTCAGAGGGTTACGTTGGCTCTAAAATTTGTTAAATTGCATTGTTATCAAGGAGACTGTCAAAGTCTCTCACTTGTTTGAAGCCTCTGACTTGTCGGTAATTCACATCTCGTAGAAGAAAGCGCCTACATGTTCATGAAAGGGAAATCTTATTAAATCTGATACACCTAAGATCAATCAATATTTAGATTTAATATCATTATTATTCAGAAATAGTTTTTCAAATTTGATTACTTGAATATTTCTTTCATTTTGCATGGCCTTGGTATTATTGTTACTTGGGTGATGCACTTTATTTATTTGATACGAAAAACAATATACTAATACGTATAATCTGCATGAATTATTGACAGAATCAGGTGTTTGCGTAGAATATACATATTTTTATTGTATTGTCAAATGAAAGTATCAGAGATTGATTTTAATCGGTTGATTTAACTGATTAAAATTGTTTAATTCATTTTTATCGCAGTACAAATTTAATTTCCACGCAATAGTTTTCAATAAGAATTTGAGAAATTGGAATTCCACCGAAGTCCATTACGGTCTATTGTGACCTCTAAAATTAGTCTTTTCTCTCAAAAACCCCATTTTTTATTAAAACAATTTGAAAACGTCATTTTGAAATACTTACATATGTGGAGTTTTCCAGCAAAAAACGGGTAAGAGTCTTTCTAACTCAAATTGATTTTTTTGCATAATAATAATAATATAAATCCATATCGTAGGACTCTAACCGAGGAAAAATTAGTCCCTGTTAACTTGATAAAAAACTTTGTTAATTGGCAACAAGTTTTAAAATTGAGAACACAATGTGAAATTTGCAATTATTATTACCATTTAAAAAGTATATAGATCATTTCTTTTTTGATTATTTATTGATGCTAATACTAATACTAACGAATTCACACTGGGTGCTGACAATTCCCCGAAAGGTCAATCAGACCTTTAGCTTTTGGAAGGATAGAATATATAGTCCATCAGGAAATTAATTTAGTGTGGATCTGCGTAAACCTATCTCCATAAAAATTATCTTTACAAAATATCTTGCACTTTCGAAAATTATATATATGTAATTCCTCAAAAACAAGCTTTTAATAATAATTACCAAATTATCTACGAACTTAAACTGTGTAATACTTATACAAGCTTTATATAATATTTTTAATTACTTTTAATAATAATCTAAGTTTTTAATGATAATTGTGTGGTTCTTGTACAAAACTTACACGATTAATATGGTCCATCTTTTTGTTGTTTTGAGAGATCTAAAATTTCGCAGAAATGTAGAAACCTAATATATATATATCACCATTTGAAAATAATTAATAGTCCTCGTCATACATTTCGCCTAACCTTCGTTTTTCAATTGAAAAAAGTTGCCCCTATGACAAGCCTTCAATTCTTGATCTTTTTGAGTATTCTAAATTCCACAGTAAGATTGAAACCTAAGGTTTATTATCATGCAAAAATCTTTAATGATTATATATAAATTATACAATTATCGTCACGCGTTTCGCCTAGCCTAAAGTCGTTTTCAATTGAAAGAAGCTACTCCCATAACAAGTCCTTCAATTTTTGATCTTTTTGAGTAATCTAAAATTTCACAGTAAGATAGAAACATAAGGTTTATTATTATGCAAAAATAATTAATAGTTATATAATAAATCATACAACCCTCGCCATACGTTTTATCTAACCTAAAGTCGATTTCAATTGAAAGAAGCTGCTCCTATGACAAGTCCTTCAACTTTTGGTCTTTTTGCGTAATCTAAAATTCTATAGTAAGACACAAACCTAAGGTTTATCATTATGTAAGATAAATTGTGGCTATATATAAAACATACAATCCTCGTCATATATTTACTTACTTCGTTTTCAATTGAAAAAAACTGTTCCTATGATAAGTCCTTCGTTATTTGGTCCTTTTGAGCGATCTAAAATTCCATAGTAAGATAGAAACTCAAGCTTATCAGTATGCAAAATTGGTTGATGGTTATATATAAAGCATACAATACTCGCCACACACTTGCTTCACTGTTTGATGATTCTTGTTCCAACTTTCTCCATTATACTTTGCTTGAATTATTAAAAACCCAAGTATTATCTATATACTCTTCACTAAAATAAAAATAAATAGGTAATCTATCTATATACTATTATATACCATTCACTAAAATATAAAATAAATGAACTGATCTATCTATGTACTAATCACAATCAACAATACATATAAAATAAATGCCTTGATATTTACTCTGTTATTTACCGTAAATATAAATACTTGCTTTATGTTCTAATACTTAGTTTTCGCCCAAAGTTATGATCCAAATAATAATCAGATCTTTTAGGAAAAGTCTTTGCCGATTTTTTTTAATATTAATCACACCAAAAGATAAAAATCCTTTGACATAGCTATTTGTTGAAAAAGTATATACACATTTTTATACTAATAATCATAAGACTCTCTTATTAAGTTGGCAAGTAAAAAGAACTTCTTTACTTTATTGAAGACTTTTTTGTTTTTTTATTTTTTTATTGATCAAAACAGAAAAACAGAAAGGAGCCAATTTTGTATAGATGTAGGACAACGCAATTTATTATAAAGATCTACGCAAAGTTTAATTTCCTCGTGGATCTATAACAATAATAATAAGATCAATAAGGAGGTGTTCCTAACATATTTCCCTAAAGGTCTGACCTACTCGAAATTGTCCAAATTAGGTGCGAATTCAAAAACATTTTAATTATTGAATAATAATAAAAGAAACAAACTCATGATACTCGAGCATAAATGAAATTCATGAAAACACACGCTTTCTTACAAACAACATTAGTATATCATACTTTCTTCATCTACATTAAAAACACTGTATTGAAAATCTACATACTCTTTGCTTGTATTAGTGCCACTAACAAAATTAATGAAGACATTATTATTATTATTATTATTATTATTATTATTATTATTATTATTATCATTATACTTGCTTGCATAAACTCGAAGTAAAAGCTGGGGATAATGTAGAAGATATAGATTATTATAAAGAAATAATAATAATAACGATCATTTATAAAATTATTTTTATCTTCTTCACCTTGCTAAAAAAAAAAGAATAAAGTAATAAAAACAATATGGAATAGTCATTATAATAATAATAATTAAGATGTAATAGTAAGTGTTATGATTCGTAATAATAAAAAAGAATTGAAAAATGAAAAACAATATTATTGGAAGCTACTGTGTAGTTATTATTGTTGTTGTTATTGATATTTAAAATAATAATATCGGTGTAACGATTTTTTATTGATTTGTGTTGGAAAAAAATTTAATCGCGCGGTGTATATTATTATTATAATAATTTTTACGTTGCACGTGAATATACACTAACCTTTTATGCTTGGTTAAATGGCTTGGACTTACAATTTTTACATGATTCATGTGTATCGTGATGTTTTATTAATTAATTATTGGTTAATTATCTTTCTTATCTTACACAACCCATGTGTGTTTTAAAAAAAACAAAAAATTATCCAAGAATAATGCGTTATTGGTTTCGTTTACATCAAATCATTAGTTGAAACAAGTAACCTTTTAAAAGAAACTGCAAATCTCAGCACCAAAGTTGATGAATACAAAGAAGTGATTTTTAAGAAATCCTTTGCTTTCCACCAAAGCAAATAAAACCTTACTACCCGTTGTTAATACTAATACCAAACCTACAATTTAATTTTCGGGTACAAAAGTATTTTATTAAGTTGTGAAAATGTTTTCACATAACAGATTATTTATAAAAAATATTAATTTCTGCTCTGAAATATTAAATAATCAAGTTAGTTAATCAATCGATTGTATTTCAAACATGCGACCTAGCCTCTTTTGTAATAATAATTGTGGTAAACCTTTTGATCATGAAAGAGATTTCTGAATGAATAAATAATGGATTAATAAACAAAATAATGATAATGTATAATACTAGTTCCAACTAACTCAAATAATAATAATAAACATGTAGAATTTGTCAACGATCTTTCATCTAAGAGATGTTCATAACTTACCTAAAAACAACTTGATCAAACCAATTGAACCTCAATCAAGTAAACAATAATTGAGCTTACATGAATGTATCGAAAATATACGACCTTTATCTAGAGTTTTACAAGATGATATAGACAAATCATCTAACTAACTGGATAGTAAGTGAACTGTTACCTTTTATCGATGGCTAAAGGTGGAAATTTTAAAAAATTATCAATTTACTTCAACTTTCTACTATAAATTCAAAAATGTAAGGTATAAATTTTTAGTAACTTATTTTTAATTTTTAGAATATGGTCCTTTCCCATTGAAAAGTCTCACATGCATAACTTCACTACTGCACAGATCAGGTACCCTCCCCAGTACAGACAAATGAGTCATTTCGAGCACTTTCCTCAGCAGTTTGGGTCTCGGAAAAGTTTAGTATTTTAAACTAGTACTAGTTTCAAGGTAGTTTCATTCGGTCACGCAGAATTAGAAACAATGAATGGAAATTTTCAATTGTTCAATTAAACATAGTCATAATTTTTACTTTAGTCGTGATCTTTTACCTTAGTCAATAAAACAAGGTTTTTGCTTTCATTACTTTGACTTCATGATAGCGAATTTGGCAAACAACATTGGTGGTGGTGTTATACACGTAATTAACGCATAATGATAAAATTTTTATTGTTTTCTTGACGAAAATTGGACCCTTTTTCTCATTCCTCCGGATTTGAGTTGTTGAGAGTCTTACACGAGATATCACAAATCTAATTAAAGAAAACCTGAATTTAGAAAAAGGAAAGTATTGTTAACCCTGCCAGTTTTTACAAGTACATTAGAGGGATCCCCAATAGTTTTATTATATTAAAATATGGTAAATTGCTGGTGAAAGTTAAAGATATACACTAAATAATTTCATAATATTGGTCAATGACCAAACGTCAAATTTAAATGATAAGAAATTTCTGAAAAAGGACTTTATTTGTTTGTCACTCAACTTTTGAACTTTCATTTATAACAAAAAGATGTTTAAAATTAGATCATTAGACTATGAATGCTACTTTTTTAGAAAGTCGATTGATGATAAATTGTGATTATAATTAGAATGTTTGTGTATAAAGTATAATGAATATTTCATTTTGATTAAAATTAACTCTTATAAAACAAGTTTAGAGTATAGATTATCTAGCATATAAATATAGATTAGTATTACCTTAAATTTTTCAAGGTAATAATTTGAGTCTCAAAGAATAATGAGTATTTCAAATGAATATTTGCGCTCGAACTTATATCATGTGCCGCCAAAATAATTTAAACTTTTCAAGGTATCTATCTGATCCTTTGAATTTCTCATTTGTATATTTGCATTCGAAACAAAAATAGATTGTCGTTATGTAAATGGTTTATTTTATGTGAAAATGAATTGGATAAATTTGCCAATTCCATTGATTGATAAACGACTAATAAAGAAATAAAACAATCGGAATTTTTTTGTGTTAAAAATAAATTTTCGAATATTTGCACCCAAACATAAATTGCTTATCTTTACGTAAATTCTTTGTTAAAAAAATCATTTAACTTAAAATAGACTATTCAGGAATACGTATTGATTTGATCTTATATATAAATACATATATTTGAATTCTCTCTCACGTTTAAATTATTTTGAAAGATATCTTCAAATAATTTTTCTTTAACAATGTTCATCAAGTTAATAAAAGTTTACAAAAAGTTTCGAGCATTTGTCAGAGGTGAAGACAGTGACGATATAAATAACAATCCCAAGCCCCGTGTAGAATATGAAGAATATTATCATGGCAACCAATTCCAGAGCTACCAGGACGTTTTGGATGAATTCGTCAAAGAATGTAATAAAGAAAGACCGCCTCCATACGATAACTTTAAGCAGAATGATAGTGTCGAATACTTTGATAAAGAACGACTATCAATCAATTCAAATAGTATTAGCGAGGTTGGTGGTCCACCAGATGTCTACAAAATCCTTTTGGTAGGCGGAACTGGAGTTGGAAAATCAACACTAATTAACGCAATGGCAAATTTCTTTCGGGGTGGCACTCTTGATAATCTGAAAGTTGTCATTCCAACTAATCATCTCGATGCTACTGAAATAGGTATTAGTATTATATTTAAAACTATTATAAAAAATCACCAAATGTAGATAGATGATGAATTTAATTTTGAATTTTTTTTTCAATATTTCAGGATTCAGAAGCTCCGAAGCTAATAGCAATGATCAAACAAAAAGTCAAACCACAGAATGCCATACCTATTGCTTCAATCATCCAGAAAATAAAGCTCACAGATTTATTTTCATTGATACTCCAGGATTGAGTGATACGAGTGGCGTGGATCAAGATGACAGGAATATCCACGCGATAATTGATACAGCAATTCGCGTCGGTTCAATATCGGCAATTGTAGTTATTGCTAATGGAACTGAATCTCGGATGACCGCAACAGCAAAAAACACTTTGGTTCGCCTGGCAAATAACATACCTAATGCCATTGTCGAGAATAATCTTTTCCTAGTTTTAACAAAGTGTACAGAAATGAGTGCCTCTTTTTCTGTAAAAGATTTTGCGGCTGATTTTGCAGAGCCAAGTGTTAGTATTAATTAGTAATAACCACTCAATTTAATTAATTCTGTATGCATGTATGTCTATAGATTACAAATTTCTATATTTTTTATATTTATTTAGGAAACTTTCTATATGGATAACCAAGCTTTCTGCAATCATCCTAAAACATGGTTAAATGATGAAGATAAATACAAACGTCTTGACTCGCAATGGAAGGAATCCGAAAAAACAATTAATGATATGCTAATAAAAATTTCTCGACTAGCTCCCATCCGAACTATAGTATTTAAACAAATGAAATCCCTTCGGGACGATATCAAATGTGAGATTCTTAGAACATCCCAAGTCATTGCAAATATTCAAATAATGCATGATCTCCTTGATGGTGCTCAAAAGGATAAGAAAAAATATGAAAATTATACAAAAACTGAAGAAGTCACAATTTCGAAAATTGTTGACGCCACTAATCATAGTACAGTTTGTATTACACATTTTAAGACGAACAATGTCTTTTGTCATGAAAATTGTGGACTTAATTTTACTCCAACGCCTGGAGAACATCCATTTAGAGATTGTTATTGCATGAACGACTACAAAGTATGCAAAAAATGTGGATGTGGCCCTACGAGGTAATCTCTACTTTCACAATGATGCATTTTTATTTACTTGTGAATAATTCTAATTTTATATTATAAATTTTATTCAGTCATTTGCATAAAAGGATTAAAGTAATCAAAGAAACAAAAAAAATTGACAAAGTCCTTGAAGATATGAAAGCGAAATATGATGAGCATAAATCTAAGGCAGATAATTACAAAACAAAGCTTGCTGATCTCGAAGCTACTGCCAATAAACAATACACAAATATTCATAAATATTGTGCTGATCTTAGAAAAGTTTGCACTAGATTTAACTTTGTCGATGAACTTAGTGCAAACATTGAAGTTATAAAACTTGATGCAAGGAATATAAAAAATGTTGATTTGCGAGAAAAGTCTGAAGCCGAAATTAAAAAACTTGTAGAATTGGTGAATGAATTGTCTTCAAATTCTGGTCTTTCATCCCCATAACCAGTGCCTCCAGAATACTCATCATCTCTGGAGCCGTCTTGACTTTCGTACTTTCTTCTTACTTATATTATGATTTAATATATAAAGTTTTTTTTTATGTAATTACTTATTAGATTATTTTATTGTATTATTTTTACATTGTATTATTTTTACACATTCATTTATATTATTATCAACATGTGCTTTTGTATTAAATAAATCGAAACCAAACAATAAATAAATAAACGGCTTTGTTTATGTTATTTATGACATGACGTAGTTCAAAAACTATTTCTTGAAAGATTGATCTACATTGAAACCCGTTTTCTAATACTACCAAGAACTGCCCCAGACCAGAACGTTTACTAAGAATTGACACATAAAAAACAATTACATTCCAAATAACGTTCGTTGTGTTGTGAACAATTATTTGTTTGAGCGGAGGAATAAGAACAGGCACGAATTTGATAACGCAAAAATAAATGTTGGTTTGATTCATGTTGTCAACCATCACTTCACTAACAGTTGTTTTGTTAACAAATGGTTCGAATTTAAGAAGTTGGAAGCAACCATGCGACAAACCTTTGAAATAGTCTAATAAATTAAATT